TTAATTTAAGCAAAAATTATTTATAATTATTTAATTTATTAATATTTTTATAATGCATATTTAATATAAACTATTTATGTACAGAAATTCTATAAAATACGCAATATTTGTATTATATACAGTATGTATAATAAAATGATAAGACATCATAACCATACACATTTACATTTTTAATTAATACCTCGATTGATTTAATTAATACTTTATAGCTTTATCAAGCTGATTTTCATTATTTTTTTTTTACTAAATTTGTCTATAAATTGTTTTATCGATGAATTATGAAAAATTAAACATAATTATTATTAGCATATTTTTTATAATAATGATAAAAGCAACGATAGATACTTTGACTAAAATCAATAAAATTCTTGAGACAAAATTTTTTTTATTATATTTGGAATACTCCTCGCATCATTTTTGTTTTGTTTTCATAATGCATTACAAGAGCAATGGAGCAATGTGTAATATTAATTGACTAGAACGACTAATATAATTTATATATGTATTCGAAATAAATGCAATAATGGAATCAATATAATTTATTATGACGTTTGAATTTCTCTATTACTTACTTAATTTTTAATTTAATTTTTAATCTCAAGTATTATTCATGTATAAATTTTATACAATTCATAGGTACAAATTTATCTAAATTTAATCGATGAGATATGTCATAATTGATAATGCTTTAGGTTTTACAAAATTATCGAAACATGTTTGATACAAGGTAAAAAAAGAACTACTAGTTTTACAATTATTTACAAAACGTATTATCCTTATTACGTAAGTTAAAATCCTGCTACACTTCCCTGCCTTCGATAATCGGAATTAGCAGTTACTCGTCCGTTTTTTATATGCACAGCCGTAACAGCACTACCGATTCCAGTATATGTCGTAATGTTGTGGCCGATCGCTGATAAATAATCAAGTATATCAGAAGGAAATCCTTTTTCCTTTTGAATGTGCATGGGAAATAGCTAAAGGCAATAAAAATTTAAATTATCAATTTCTATAAATAATGCAATAAAACTTTTTGGCTAACGATATTCTTACTTGATGATGAATTCTGTAAGTATCAATGGCTTCTTTAATATTGTAATCCTTCCAAAGATTCAAAATTATAATCGTTGCAACGGCCGTGGTTATCTTAGTTCCACCTGCAGCCCCGATAATCAAGCGCACTTTTTTGTTTTCGTCTAGCTGAAAGAATTATCAATAATATTATATATAAATCATTTTAATAAATAATATAAAAAAAAAAAAAAAAAAAAAAAAAAAAAAAAAAAAAAAAAAAAAAAAAAAGAATAATATTGGATATAATCATTTTGTATAGAGAAAACGATTTTAATTCTTTTTACTCGCAACATACGTATAATTTTGTATAGTCGATTTTCTACGCTAGAACTTTAATTAAATATTTCATGAATGGCTTTTTTTTTTCTTAAATCTTATGTTCTTACGTATTATAATATACGTGACAATTTTTTCAAGTCCTAAATAAATTTGATTATTTAATATATAAGTATAATTTTACATGCGTTCAATATATTCATGAATAATTACCACTATTGTGGGAGTCATTGAGCTCAATGGTCTTTTATGTGGCATAATAAAGTTATTTTTTGACGGTGGTAAGCCAAAACCATTCGTTATGTTAGGAGAACTAAAGTCATCCATTTCGTCGTTGAAGATTATTCCAGTTTGTGGTGATCGTCTCTTAGAACCTAAACTATGATAAAATATACATTATTTATTGTTACTTGTATTCATTTATAATATCTTTCAAGTTGCAAATAATATCACGTTAATATCATTAAAATCTTTACAATTAGCATGTTGACTGTCTGCTGAAAATATTATCATGTACGGAGAAATAAATCGTGAAAATAATGAATAAAAAATTGAGTAAAAATGATGATAAATTACACTTGATTGATCGTTGATGTGACTGATACGGCTGAACCATCCGGAGCTAATATTGCCACGTGCGCCGTTCCATGGTCATCTTTATTTGTAGTGACAGCACCGTAATGTTGTGGATCAACGTATGTTCTATTTTCGATAACAGCCAATTCAATTGACTTTGCATAATCTTTCGATGTCAAATTCGTAATCATGCCCTCTGAAAATTATGTCAGTTTTATTTGAAATAATACGAGAAGGCATATTGTGCTTCGAGGATCGACCGTATTTATCGATTAGTTAAGCATAAAATATTATGTACAATGTTATTTTAAATATTAATTGATGAAGAATTTTAAGTAAAAATAATGTAATCATTTAGAATAATATATATATATATATATATATATATATTATCAATAAATTGGCGTATTATTAAATAGTTCAGAAGTTTCAATCCATTATCAATTATTGTTATTTTGAATGAATTCTATCGTTACAAAAAAGTCCTCAATTTTGATAATCTTCGTTATGTTGATTATAGGTAATAAATAGAAAAAAAAACGAGTCGTTTAGGAATTGTTGCTCCTTAAGTTAAATAATCGATTAAAATTTCCATAACTTGAACTTACAAGTATTTAGAAGATAAAAAAATTTTGAATTTTTGTAAAATTGAAAGTTGAATGTATCTTTTCCTTCCAAGCAACCCTTCGATCGAAAGTTTTTACCAACCTATATTAACAAAATCAGGATCACCAAGTTCAGTTCTCCTTGCATAAGCCCATTTAAACGCTTCGATGATTCGCTGATATAAGACTTTCTCATTGTTTGTCATGACAAGATCTTCGAGGACATTCAACATGAAGGCGAGAAGAATTCCGGAGCCCGGTGGCGGTGCTGTGTACACGTTTAATTTTCCAATATTTATCGCTATCGGTTTTTTCCATTTGACTCTTTAAATTGAAAATCATTTGTTACTTTCAGTTTTAACTGTCGTGCTATGTCGGCTCTCGTGTCATTCATGTCAATTAGATCGAAAGAGGAGAGCAAATGAAAGTGAATTTTTTGTGATTGTATCTTAGAAAACTTCTCTTAAAAAACAATATTGCACTTTAAATTTAATTAACAATACCGTCGCACATGAGATATTTTTATATGTCTGTACATTATACATATATATATATATATATTTTTTTTTTAAGATTTTGTATGTACGCGTGTCTGTACAAACAAGAATAAAATACTAATACAAACAAAAATATAAAGTACAACTTTTTTAGTAATTGGAAATTTAAAATAATGGATTATATAAATTTATATGCCAACGAGACTTGTGTCATTTATTTAATTAAAAAAAAAAATTATAATATAAATAGATATGAAACATACGACAAAAATATATAGAATTTTTAATTTAATTTTAGATGATTTTTCTATAATAACAAAATTTGAACGTTAATATCAGTTGTTCGCAATGAAAATCTTTTAAATCATTTAAAAGTTTTTTGCTATTTTTATGTATCGTACTTTTGTTTTACATAATTTTTTTTTTTTTTTTTTTTGTTCCATATCCCAAGATTAGTTTGAAAAGAAAATATAAATTTACACGCAAATACATTTGATTTGCATACCTATAATTTGTAAAATCCTGGCTCGTGATAATCGAACCGAAATTCTTCAGGTCTAATACTAATTCATCCCTCATTGTTCCATTATAAAATAGATTTAAGGGATCATCGTCATTGGCTAGGCGCGTTAATGTTTTTTCTAATATTGGCCTTTTTATCCTTTCGCCTTCCTAAATAATAATGTCTATTAAGAATAAAGTTACTTGTTTTTAAAGCATAATTATTATATAATAAATCTAGACTATAATTATGAAAATAAGTAATTTTTACGGCATATAGTCGATTCGTCTTAGGATTAATGAGAATATCAGCCAATGTTTTTTCAGATCTAATAAAATGTTCTTGGTTCTGTAAACTATCCTCGAGGTATTTTGTCACAATAGAACCAGTCCTGCATAATTCTATGGAGGGTTGAAAAAGATCTCGCCATGGTAGCTTTCCATACTTTTGATGTACTTCCCAGTATCCCATTAGTTCGCCAGGTACTGCAATTGATAGTCCGCCTATAAAAATTAAACACACTTTTATTCAAGCAAAATACAATTAGGGCAATTAAGTAATTTTACAGTTATATATACATATATATATATATATATATATATATATATATATATATCGTTATAATTAAGCTTTGTAAGTTGAAATACCAATTGGCAAGTAAATTGTACACACATCTCATTTTGACTATTCAAATATTTGACTATTGTGCAGACTCGTCAATGCAAACAGCAATTATCTGACATTTATATCAAGAGATTATCAATCGATTTATTAAATTAGTTGATTTATTAATATATCACTTTATGAGGCTTTTTAAATATTTACCATATAGAGACAAATTGGCGTTTCCTCCGAACATAGTTGCAGTAGCCATTTCCGGAGCTGTTTCTCTCGCATCCAAGAAGACAACAGACTGATGAGTGGCGTCATAAATTGTCATTAAAAATCCGCCTCCAAGACCCATGCTACAAACAAAAGAGTTAGTTAATCGTTTTATCAAGGATATATCAAGGATTTCTCGTTGGAATTAGTAATTGAAAGAATTTGCGATGGAAACGAAAAAATACGCGAGTCTTGCGCAAAGCTCAAATTGTAAATATGCCATTACGCGACTCTCTTACTCTCACGTTTTACAACAACATTACCGTCAGCGTTTTGCAACATTGGACAATCCTGTGGATTGAGCTGAGCTTACCTAATGCCACGTATCAAGCGTGTACCTGTGTAAGGAGGCGATGCCCTCGCAGAGAAGAGTCGCGATAGCGGCGTCGACAGCCGATCCATTGCGCTTTAACATCTTCATGCCAACTGCTGCGCATTCTGGACCATTGGAAGATACTGCAGCCTGTAATGGAAATGCATTCCCGTTGTTATTTCGTATGTTTATGTAAAACGATTGTTATGGGGGCTCGGATTCGTGGTACCTGTACGCCTATTTTGCCGTGGCAAAATATTTTTACCATGACATCTGATTTTTCGTAGTACACGCGATGTTAATATTTATCGTTAATATTTAACGTATCACAAATATTTTTAAGTTAATTTTTAAGTTACATATAATTGCATCGAATGATTTCATAATTTGTCTTACGAAATCAACAGAATTTACAGAATTTAAATGTATACATCGTACATTGTGATATGCACGAGTACTTAAAAATCATGTATTGCATAACTTTATTTATATAAAATGTATAAACGAATTGCACATATAAAATATATGTAAAATAAATATTTGTATAAAGCAGCGTTAAAACTGAATTATTGGAATAAAACTTTGAAATTGTGTTAATTTCCGTTATATTACACATATTATGGATATGCAGGATACTTAATAATGAAATCATTTAAATGATTTTAAAACTTTGCCTTTGAATTATGACTTTAATTATCATTTATCTTGTTAACTCTTGCGTTTAAAAATATGTGCTTTAGAAAGTAGTCGTTTTCATAATTTATTTCGATTATCTAAAATGTTATCTTTAAATTTATCGATTGTAATTTTACATTTTTAAAGTCACATTAAAATGGTATTGGATGCTTTTGTCACGTCTACTCAAGTAATTACAAATCTTAAGTTTTTAAGTAATTATCATAACTTTTAACAAACATTTACATCCTAATATGTATGCTTAAGAAAAAAAAAAAAAAAAAACAAACTTCTTAATAAATTCACAATTCGACAAGTTAATTAATCAGCTTGTGCTAACATACTTTTATATCGCTTACTTCCTCTAAGTAAACTAAAATTAATGATGAAGAAATATACTTAGCTATAAAATATGTTTATTTTATGAAAATTAACAAACGGTTTTATAAACATTAGTATTCTGTTGATGGTGAATGATTGAATTGGCTTTGCTGCAATTGATATCATATCTTAATTGTTATGGTAAACTTTATAAATCAATTTTTAATTATATTAATAATAGTTTTTAAATAGGAACATGAAAATAAAGTTTGAATGAAATCATAACAACCGTACCTTGCCAGTTATTAATTCAATCAGATTTATAAATGTTTATCAATATAATAAAATACGATAATATTTATCGCTATTTTATGAGATTGTTATAATAATATTCATCGACATAATATTTTTATTACTTGTTTATATACATTTATAAAATTTATTTTATACACCGAGTATTTTTCATGCATTAATGATTAATTACTAAAGATTTTGAAGATAATGTTTAATAATCAGAAATGCATATTTTTAATACACACTGTATTTTGATATTATCAAGAAATTTAAAAAATTGTATTTCAGATTGTATTTCAGATGTAAAAAGGTAATTGTTCGTTTAAGCTCTTGAAAGACATATTATCCTACAGTTTAACTTACGTGATTGTAAAGGAAAACATTTTATCACATCGTGTACGACATTTTTCATCAATTTCTTCATGGAAAAGTAAAAAAAAACAAAAAAAAAACATTTTATTTAAAACGTTTTATTCGTTTAAAAATTAAAAATTCTAAATACTTTTTGAAAATTAAATTTTACTTATCAAACTGTTTTTTATTTTACTTCACACTGATTGTTTAACTAAGCATTAAAATTAACAAAAAATTAATAATTATATTTATGATAACAGTACCTTTTCGTAAATTCCCAGGGTTGAATTACTGATGAATTTGGATTTTTTTAGTTCTGATCGACTATTTTTAATAACAATTACGGTGACAAGAGCTATCAGAACAAGTGTAGTTATTACACTTCCACCGATCAGATATATTTTTCTAATAAGCCTGAAAAAGAAAATGTTCATACACTCATAACAAATATATATCATATGTTATATGATTTTTTTTATGATGGATTTCTTATGTTTTTTGTTATGTTTGGATTGTACCGATGCCGAGTCGACATATATTTTGTAAGTAATTCGTGTAATTAAAAGTTTTTTTTGTTTGTTTTTGTTTCCGTCATGATATTAGCATCTAATTAAATATAAAATATTCATATAAAAATCAATATAAAAATCATTATATTATTTTTGTCAAAATACATACTCGATATTGGATTTGATAATACTTGTTTTCTATTTATATTGTTAAGCGTTCGGTTTATTAATTTAAAATATATTAAAAAAATATTTACATACATGTTTTAAAGAATTATGCAAATAATAATAACACAAATTAGTAGTTGCAACACCGTATCAATGTAATAATGGGTGTTTATTGTTTGCTCGCGCACGTGTGCGCGAGAGCAACGGCTTATTTAACTACTGTTCCTCAATTGCGTGAGTGTCGTTTTAAAGGGAGACTGTACACTAACGATCCTTCTCTATAAAACTTTATAAGCCACTTTGATGATAACAAAAGAGTGCAATAAAGTACAAGTTAGACAAGAGATCCTGAATTCACTTATATGTACATTTTATGCATATACGTGTTCACATAAAAATAGCTCTTATAAATCGCGTTGTAAACGTCAAATATAAAAACATAATCCTATTAATAATATTTTAATTTACATTTATTTTACTTTATTTGATATTAATAGTAATATTTAACATAACCGTATTGAGAAATTATAATAAAAAATCCATAAATTTATTCAAAATACAATTTTATAATGTTATCGGACATTTTTTAAAAGATTACGAGCTTGGTATTTATTTATATTAATTAAAACTATTTATGAAAATAATATGCATATAATGAAAAGTCAATGAAATAAAATTTAAGTTTTTAAGTTAAGTATTAAGTATATTAATGTTATCGAATAGACGGATCGATTGAAAAAAAAAAAAAAAAAAAAAAATCGATATCTCTATTCGAAAATCGATATTTCTATTTAAAAAATCGTGATTTATGCTTTCTCTTAATATTACAACATACCTTGTGATTCCAAACAATATATTTTTCTACACAAAATTAGATATAGTATTATTTAATGTTATTTATCGTATGAAAATGATAATAAATTATATTAAAATTTTTCATGCTATTTTTATTGCAAAACTATGTTATCGGCATAAATTTTTAGTTATATTTTTGTATGGAGATTGTTTTAAAAAATAATTAAAAAATGGCTTAGATTATATTTATATTATGTTAAAGAGAGCGTGCCATATTTATTTGTAATTTTATATGCTTTAATATTTGTGACATAATTCGATAATTAATTCGGAAGTCGTGCAATATACCATTGATACGAACCTAAAATTAATTGCAATAACGGAGATGAAAATTGCTGTTTTATTAAAATAATCGAGATGTTAATTGCATTATATTTCAAAACAATGAGCCATCAAACGAATAAGCTCGGCAATTGCTTTATTTTGCTTTGAATTTTTGTTGGACGAATTTTATTTAATAAGATTTATTATGCGTTGATAATGTGCAACATTATTAAATTGCATACATTTACTCGGAGAGTATATGGTATACAGTAATATAAATAATGACTATCTTCATCGGTTTTGTTCACGAATGTTGGGCGATAATTTTGCAAAACAATACTGGGTCAAATAAATGAATAAGTAAATATTTTACGAACGTATTTTCAAGTGTCAAATTACTGTTTTTTTTTTTCTTCTCATTGTAATAATTAATGTGAAGGTTATCTGAAATTGTGTTTTAATGAAGGAGCGACATTTAACTGTAAACGTTATTGTTTTAAACGCTTTTGTACGTTATTCTTAATTAAAAAATTTCCTTCATTATATCATCGCTATATTGTTTACCGTCAATGTTAAAGGCAGCACGATATTATAATAATTTTTCACATAAATTGCATTTTAACGTAGCCATTAAGCTTATAGCATATTTCAAAACAATTTCTTTTGATTTTGTTATTTGCTTATGTAATGCCACAGGCAATCTAATTTTATAATGCAATTGCTTTAGATTTAGATTTTTAATGTAGAGAGTAGTTGTTGTTAGATTTATACTGTTGACTCACAATTCTGTATTTATAGTTTACAGTAGTATTTGTAGGCATTCTATTTTAATTGGCCTTGTTAATTTTTCTGTAACTGTTGAGCAACATGTAATGCTATTCAAGTATACTGTCCACGTTTTCTAAGCCAATGTGGAATACTTGTAGAATATTAGATTATGCTTTCATTTATTTAGTTGAGAAAATATTTTACAACGATAACGTCATTTGAAATTTTAAATCTTCATTTCTAGTAGAATATTTCATAATAGTAGCCATATCATCTACGAATGAAAAAAAAATATCTTATTTATCTTTATTAAATGTCTTTCAAACGAACGGCCATTGTTCCTTGATAAAATGGATTTTATGACATAAAGTTTTACGCCAAATTGTTTTCTATTTTAACAAATGTTAAAAATTTACGGAAAAATTTAAAATACTTTCATATTTAACGATCCTTCAAACTTTGAAATTTGTTTTAGTCGAAAGAGCTTGAATGGATATAACATCTATTTATAATCACTGTGATATTTTTAAAAAGAAAATTTAAAAAAAAAAATTTTTTTAAATTCAAAAAAAAAATTTCCATTCTGAAATGGCTATTGTTAAAATAAAAGGACAACAAGTTTTGTTAATGAAATGCAAGTGCAAGGTAGCCGACGTTTTGCATAATAATGATGTTACGTATCAAGTAAGTAGCTACGTTTTATAAGTGTGTGTAATTTATTTATATCATTATTTTATTATATTCTTAAAACTACTCTTAATTTCGGAAACTACTTTTACGCTATTTTATCTCATGCTTTCAAATAGTTTAAGCCAGTTTATTTTCACAAAAAAATATAACTATTTTTAAAATCACATTGTAATTATAATTATTACTTACAAAATCATTAAATACTTTAATAATATTAAATTTTTTATTGTAATTTTATCAATTATTTTGAAAGTAATTGATACAAAAATGTTGTATTTATTTTTTGTAATACATATGAATATAAAATATATTGGTATAATTAATTAAGCAATTTTAAATAAATTCGTATAAAGATTTATAAGTAAGTCAATTTTATATTTCAAATTGAAGCTTGAGAACGTGATTAAAATCAAATATAAACATAGTTTTTTTATAAGATTCATTTTAAGAGTTTTTCATAAAAATTATATTAATATTGTTCGGATGATAATTTACAATATTTAGTGTAATTAAAAATATTTGTTAATTGAGATATTATATATATTTTTTAACTGAGTACATGTCTCTTAAAACATTTTACAAATAATTGTTGAACATTCTTATCAAAAAATAATTTTAGTACACGTGCTTTTATTTGACAAATCTGATAAAATTTTATGTTACCAGATAATTAGGAATATAAGACAAAGTAAAATATATGTGATATATTTACGATGCACCATTCCAAGCTAGAATTTAAGTAAAAATTATTACTGAGGTATTCTTCATTTGACATCAACATCATAATATCGATATATTAATACATCTGCATGATCATTAAGCTATAAAAGTTTTATAAATACAGAAAATTATTGAATGTTTAAGAAGGACTTAACTTAATCAAGATAATGAAATGTGAACGATAACAGTCATTTGGATTTTATGGAAAGTAAATTATCTATCTAAACAGTATAAGATATATATACAGTATAAAATATATATATATATATATATATATATATATATATATATATATATATATATATATATATATATATATATATACAGAATAAAATTACAATATTATTTTATAATATAGATTGAAACATAATTACATTATCTGCTTTATGCAGGCGATGTATTTTAATTAAAATAAATAAAATGACTATTATCAGCAAGATAAAGAATTGTCAAGATAACAATCATTTTAATTTTATATAATGTAAATTATTAATCTAAGCAACATTAATATATATATATATATATATATATATATATATATATATATATAATACAATTATACCATAATTGTATAACACAAAGTAAAATATTATTTTATTATATGCTTTATCCAAGCGATGTATTTTCATTCAAATTAATATAATATTACTATTTTATCAATATTACATTGCAATACAACATAAATATTTTTCATGGTCCATAAATATATGCACAATTTTTATGTTTTTTACAATTAAAAATTTCATTATTATTTTTCTGTTATTTAAAAATAAAAATAATTATGCTTTAAAAACCGTATCACATTAAATATAAAACAAGTAAAGTGAAAATGCTTAGCTGATTCGAAATAAAAATAGGTCATTTTTTATTTTTTTTTAATTCAACACTTTATATGAAAATGAGTTTTTAAAATTGCATGCAATTTATTATTAAGTTCAATAGTAGTAGCAATAAACTTTTATGTTTCAAATTAATAGTATGATAAAAGTTGTTTGTCAATAATTTAGAAAGATGAAAAATATTTAATATCGTTAATTTTTATTATTTAGATAATGTGTCCGAAAATTTCTATCTGCAAATATTAAATATCCAATCAAGTCGCGTTTAAATAATAATAAAAGAAAATAAAATGAAAATTTACGTTAATCAATTAAGTTGTTTCTATCTCTGTAGTTCGATCCATAAGGTCGATCGCATCTGATAATTACATTTCGTTTAATTTCATCAATTACAAATATAATTTTTAATTTCGAAATATTTGTCTATCCTGACGTGTAAAAATATTTTTATTATGTGAATGCAATCGTTAACACGTTAGATGCGCGTGCGCGATCGCTCACGCGCATTCATGTTAAAACACATAGCACGCACGCACGCAATCACGCAATCACGCACGCACACACCCGCGCATTAACGCGCTCACGAACGCTCGCGCTCACGCTCACGCACACGCGCCCACGTACACATCTATTTATAAATATATATTCAAACTTTCTATTCGTTACGAACTTGCGTACATAGCATTTTTGTTTTCATTATAAAACTTAATTTCTAGTTGTTATTCGTTATTGAATTTTCGGGGAAAAATTCAATTATTTGAGCATTATCGTTCAATTCGGCCGAATACTTGCATTGTATCAATAATTAATAAATAATTATAATCATTAGTTATTTTACCTACCTCGAATCTTTCTAATTTCCTCAAATAATTTTCAGATAACCTGTTTAATTCGTACATTGCCAGTTGAAAAAGATATTGAAATTTAACTCTCTAAAAGTAAATAAATTTTGCCATTTAGTGCACGCTCTCTTATTTCTTATTAAGCTCATAATCGAACAGTTGTTGAAAGAAAATAAGCCCTTCTTTTAAAAATTCCTCCATATTATCGAAATGCAAAATACTTTTTTTTTTATAAAGCAAAAAAAAAAAAAAAATGAAGTCACACAAACCGGATCATAATAACGAAGAAAGACGATCGCGACTACTTGTCCCATTGAATGTGCAGTCTCGACTAATCTTTTAACTAAGCGTAAGCGATTATAGTAAACTCATGCCTCCTTAGTTGTCAATCCCCACCAAGTTGTTAGCAAGTCTGCAGTATACCTTGGAGAGAACCGATTGTAAAGCTATGTTTACATCGATGAACCTGGACTCCTGCCTAGGTAGATAGATTATGGAGGTACTTTTAATGTGTTTGGTCGAAGATATTGCTAAATGCTAAGGTAGATAAGCAATAAGGCTGTGCACAAGGTATTAGATTAGATTTGGGAGTGTTCGGAGTAACGGGACATTGCTCTCGGTCCAATATGATATGGATCAGTAGACGCGATCATAAATTCTCGGGGGATGGATTAAGCGATTGTCGAGGGAGAATGATGGCCAAAGATATCATCTGCAAGTCGTTTGTTATTGAGGATAAATGAAAATTTGAATTTGTGTCAATGCGTAAGAGAGCGTGTCGTGTTACAAGAGCTATTCAAAAAAAAAAAAAAAAAAAAAAAAAAAAAAAAAAAAAAAAAAATAAATAGAAGATTTATCTTTATCAACAAGATATGTTAATAACGATTGGAATTAAATAATAGTCGCATGTCGCGTGTATTTTACGTTCGGATTGGCGGACAATGTTTTTCTTATTAATTCCCTTTGGTTGATTTATTCATTAATTCTCGTTGTCTTACACGATTCAATGGTTATTTATATTTTATCATAAGAAAACGGAGATGCGTAGATCATTCTTCATTATTTAATTAACTTATCGACGTACTCTCTCTCTCTCTCTCTCTCTCTCTCTCTCTCTCTCTCTCTGTCGATCCCTCAATATTTTTTTGAACATAAAAATTAATATTTTAAAATTGATTTTACGCATTTATTAAGGTAGTCGATGTTCATGAATTATTTGACAGGTTTATAAGTCATGTTTTCTAAACATTTATTACAATGAAAGAAATAAACTATCCTACTTTTAAAGATCTATAACAAAATGTTGGCTAGCTATTACAATATAATAAACTCTTAGCTTATCAAATATAAATAAATATACGGTATCTACAGTGAAATGTAAAAAAATTTATTTAATTTCTAGCTATGCGCTTTTAAATAATGAATCGCGATAAAAAATTATTCAGCTTTCGTAAAACAAATTAAGAAACCTTGTGCATTACTTTGGCAAGAATACAACTTAATAGAGGCGAAAATTTTGAGCATTATTTTTTTATTAAGAGAAATTACTAATTAAACATTGTCTCGACTGTAATTCATCAAATCATAACTGATATCACAGTCACTATTTAATTAATGCCAAAGTATTTCAATGTTTTTTCAATTACAAAATTAATAATTGAACACACGTTTAGGCGTGCGGTCGTTATGTTGGGTACAGTGCGTCAATTTGGGTTAAATGTGTGTGGATAATATTCACCGGAAAAACGGCATAGTCACTTTCAGTTTATCAATATTTTTAAAGTGAACTTGTATTTTAATAATGGCACGTTACGATCGAGCTATCACAGTATTCTCTCCCGATGGTCATTTACTTCAAGTCGAATATGCCCAGGAAGCCGTGAGAAAAGGATCGACAGCGGTAAATATTGAAAATAATTCTAACCTCAAGACTTACAGTAAAATTACAATATAATAAAGAGTGCTCTTTACTATAATTTTGAATATTTCCATTTATTCCCTAAGTAATGGAAAATAATTTGTAAATTTATTTCCATTTGCTTATGTTAAATATTTCTTTGTCTGTCTGTATTCGTATTCCATGATGATGGGGTCTATATGTTGGTATAAGCATGTCAATTCAATAATTTCGTTTCCATTAAAACTCTTCCAACTTATATATTTGTATAAAACTTTGTCTCGTTTATCGAAGGTTGGAGTTAGAGGATTAGATGTAGTAGTACTTGGCGTTGAGAAGAAATCGGTAGCTAAGCTTCAAGAAGAACGTACTGTCCGTAAAATTTGCCTTCTCGACGATCATGTTGTTATGGCATTTGCTGGTCTTACTGCCGATGCGAGAGTGTTAATCAATCGATCACAAATTGAATGTCAAAGTCACAAATTAACTGTAGAAGATCCAGTTACGTTAGAATATATTACAAGGTTTATGGCAAGTGAGTAAAATAAAAATATATATATATATATATATAGCAGTTTTTATTAGCGTATGCATTGTATACGTTGTTATTATTTTATCGACAGGCTTGAAACAAAAGTATACGCAAAGTAACGGCCGAAGACCTTTTGGAATTTCATGTCTTTTAGCTGGTTTCGACTACGATGGCGTGCCACACTTATATCAAACAGAGCCATCTGGTATTTATTACGAGTGGAAAGTATGTGCAAATTAATTGGAAGTTTCGATTGTATCGGCATAATGCCAAATATGTATTAATAAATATTTTGTAGGCAAATGCTACTGGTCGCAATGCTAAGACGGTCAAAGAGTTCTTAGAGAAATATTACACCGTTGAAGAAGTTGCCACGGACAAAGGTACTATAAAATTAGCTATCAGGGCACTCCTTGAAGTTGTGCAATCTGGTCAAAAGAATTTAGAAATAGCGGTTATGCGTCGAGGCCAGCCAATGCAGGTATTGTGCGCATAATAAATTAATTGTGTATCTATTTTACAATTTTTCGCTCCATTAATCTGTAATATTTTAGATGCTTGATTCCGATACAATTGGCGAATATGTAACTGAAATTGAAAAGGAGAAAGAGATCGAAGCCGAGAAGAAAAAACAAAAAAAGTGATCGCATTTATGTTAAACATACAATATAATATAGATTTTTCATTCTTGCTAAAGTTGCTACTATTTGAGGGATCTGTGAAGGTGTTTTAAGATCTTAAGACTTTATACTTTTACGTTGCATCATTGTGAAATATGTGAATGCGCTTCAGTACTGATGCAAATGTAAAAGTAATTTTTTCTATTAGAAAATAAAGAAAATGACTCATACTTACATATTATAATTCAAAAAATTTTCCTTTTTACTTTTTAAAATGGATACACATATATTATGGAATGATAAAAACATATTTTACGATTGTAATAAATAACTTAACAGATATAACTTAATTTTTACACGATAAAAATTTATTTGACAATTGTAATAAACTAACTTAATATACATAACAATACATATTGATATTGCACTTTTTTAATGCAAAACGTCATATAGCGTAATCTCAGAAAATTAATCGAAATTTCATTCAATTACGTATTAATTAACAATTGGCTAAATTTTATTTGGTGCAATTTTTTTTTCAAAATTCAAAAAATTTTTATAAATGTTTTTCTCGCATGTCTCTCCTATCACTTTCCGATAACAGATATTCAGGGGATAAAGATTTGCCTCTGTGATTAAATATTTGAAAAGACGGTAAGTTGCGCAATGTATCCCAAGATTTATTTTCTAAATCTACGACAGCTCGTATTTCCTTAAAATCACCAGCTATATGCATTACACCATACATAACAGCAAACATGCTCATAATTCCTTGTATAATAATCTGTAAATAAATTCTTAGCATAAGTGCAATTATACGTTACTATACGCATACATTATAAATTATAAGAAAAAGCGGTTTAATAAACTTTAATAAGAACTCTTGATTTTCTTGTTAATGCTTGTTTATATTCTTTAGCTAAAATAAGAATCATTTCAATTATGAATAGCAAAATTAATCGAGACTTTATTAAAATATGTTTCACACATTACAATTTTATCATAATCCTATCGCTAAATTTTTTCCTAAAACTTTTTATAAATAATTTAATTTAAATTTAACACGATATGTATTTGATTAGGTTGAATATTTAAGTATTCTCATAGAATTTTATTAAAACTCCGCTGTATATTGATCGCTCTTAAGAAGAAATGAAAATATATGATAAATAATAAATTAATTTTGAATTAGATTTTTAAATAAATATACTTACATCAATTGGCAATGTTGTAAATTCTTGCTCTGTTATTCTTAAATAAGAACGGTCTGCAATAATATATAATCAATTACCATTTGAACATTTAAATTAAAAAATGTATTATCAAGATTTATTATTGGCTAAATTAATTCTCATATTTTTTTTCTTTCTTTAATGAGAATGACTATCAAACTAAATTATTTCGAAAAGTAATTATACTTACGTTGCACAGCTGAGTAGGCTGCATGAAAAATTGAAAGAAACCCTAAAAATGTAGCAAGTTTATGCACTGATCTCGCAACCATATTTGTATATATTAAATTTTGTATTGTTTTTATTATGAACGCACGAACAAATATGTATGCATATATATGTATATAAAGTATTTTTTCTTCCAGCCTATGATAAAATTTATTTAAAGATATTATGAAATCTCATATGTAAACAAACACTTATATATGTTTGACTGAAACTACTCTGATCCAATGAAAAATCAATTTTAATTTTTATTCCAATTCGTTGCCCAAGTCATTTATACTTCATGCACACGTCTTTAGTATAGTAAATTTTGTAATAAATTTCTTTGCAACTGAAAGTAGATAATAATAGAGTATGGATTCTTAATAAAAAAATATTGTAGTATGTCTTTTAAATATCTTATAGCTGTCTTAAATATATCATTAGGGCCGGATATACTTGTCCACCAGTGAAGAAGAAGAAAGCTTAGAGCGAATAGCAGAGATCTACAATACCGTCTATAATGCCTATCTCTCATTCGAACTCAAACTAAAAATACCAAAGTATGAGCTTCAATTCTACTTGTCCACCATTTTGATGAATAGGGATGTCAATTTGATTCATAAGGAAATACATTTGTTTAATTAGAGATGATATCCTTGATGTATGCTAGACGTATATTGAAATTTTTAAAAATAATATGAATGAGATATATTAAATGCAATAAAAATTTTGAAGATACATTACTTTTAATGGTCAATCAATGAAGTAATTGGGATAGAAATTTTGAATGTTGACATATGTTTTTTACATACAAATAGAAAAACTTGCACTGATAAATGCAGTACGGAAAATATTTTATTTCATATTTGTTTTATATAGTATATTAAAATTGCAGTCCTAAAAAATAATGCAGTAATATGTGGTAATTATAGATAAGTAAAAATAATAAAATTAGAATAATGTTATACCTTATTTAAAGAAATTATCTTTTCAAATTTGTATCTATTAAATAGAGTAATTTCTGAAGATTAGAAATTAATTTTCGTAAAAAATCCTCTGACTCACTTTTATATAATTATAAACAAATTTGTTAAATACGCATAATTATAAAAATTTTAAATATAATTTTATAAAGCGATTAAAGACATTAAAAATACCTTTTTTTCCAATGCACACGCGCACGCACGCATATAGCGCGTAATATATTGGATTAAGTAAATTCTACGAATTTGTATATTTTAATACTTTAATTGAATTATTTATTAATATTAAAATATGAACATTATTATATTATTATATATATATAACATTATTATGTCTTATGATTGATGGGCAATAGCGAATCTCGAAGGATATTTTATCTATTAAAAATATTGTTCTATCTTAAATTCGTTTGTGTACAAAATCTTTTGAATTTACATTTAAATGTGGATGCATTTTAATTGTGTGTAACAGAATATACACACACACACACACACAGCCATACACACATGCATATATATATATATATATATATATATATAGATTTTTTTTTTTTTAATGGATTTTGTTTAATTTTAATTGAATTTTTTGGATCGTTTATAATTATATATGGCTTTATCGTTAAGATTAAGCATTAAGTTGATCAGACCCCATTGATGAAAATAAAAACACAATGTTCATTTGCGAATTATTTCATTTCTATTATATATATTACAGCGATTGATTGAAACTGTGATGTTTCAACAATTTTTTGGTATGCACATCGGTGCGTGTGTGTTAGTGTAAGGATACGCTATATTGCACACTACAATCCATTGTTGACCAAAGAATATCATCATTCAACATTGAAAAAACAGCTGTCAGGAAGTTAATATAATGATGAAACATTTACTTGAATCGCGCGCTCTAAGCACGACATTCTTGTTGTCCATTCCATGGTTCACAATAATTTCGAAAAGTGCAGTGATTAATCATCTGCAGCAGTAATACGTAAAGATCATTAACAGATTGATGCAGATTTGCTAGATATATAAGATTACTCTTATCGAGTGCGTTTTAAGTATTTTTCTTTCTATTAATTGATGTTTAATGTTCGATTAAAATTATAATGTAAGAGAAGTACGTATTGTAATGTGTGGTCAAATAGTGATAAATATAAATAAATACCTTATTGTCCATAAGTCTTTGCAAACTCCGTTGAATTTCAAATATTTTAGTGTAGATAATTATTATAGAACGCATGCGTAAAAAATATGAATACATGATGTATTCTGCAAAGGAAAAGCAAATGGAGGAGTATAGTATATGGTGACGATGGGTATTAACCATTACTGGTCATAGAAGACAGAGAGATATTTAATAATGAATTTATTTCGGTAGCCAAAGAAATTATATTATGGAAGTAAAATAGTATTAGTGAGTAGTTGGCAATTTATTAATTTTGTTATAAATTATTTTATTTAAGCATTAATAATTAATATTTGTAAAGGATTTAAATATTTTTGTTAGCCATAAAATCAATTGTTGAAATAAATGATTAATGATGTTTTTAAAGTATATGTCGCGATTATTAATCAGATGGCAATTTAATTAATTTTATTGGTGTAGAATTTCAGAGCAGCCATTTCTAAAGAAATGGATAACGTACCATTAAATGCAGAATGTCCGTATTACTGGGCTGCAGATTCCTCGCAAACAGAAAATTTTACATATTATTCAAATTCTCCGTTTAATTATCCTACCCAAGTTGCCCCTCCACCACCGTCTTATTCCGTTCCACCACCCAATTATGGAAATTACAATTATTCGAACGAATCATACTTTCCAGTTCCTCCTCCAGAGTCTGATACTACCTATCCTGTTGCATCCGTTACATCATACTGTAGCTATGAATATCAAAATCGTACATCGACTCAAGAAAACCAAGATTATTATGCCTCGTCTTATTCCCAAACTCAGGCAACTAATTACAACTATAATTGGAGTTCAAAAAATCCATATCAAACAGAAGGTAAGATCGATACGGGTAAATGGGGAACTGAGAATGCATCTTGGTCAATCCAGACATCAGTCACTAATTCCAATTTGAAGACGAAAACTGTATGTGCAGATGTAAGACATAAACCACTGGACACTGATTTAAGACGCTCTAATAGTCCTGAAAATAGATTTCATTTAAATAAATTTAACACTAGAAGAAAATACGATGATTACTTTAGTAGATCTAGAGGGAGAAGCAAGGAAAGAAGGAATTCAAGGGAACGATTTTATAAAAGAAGAAGCAGAAGTTTGGACAAGAAATCTTATATGAGCAATAATTTTTTTAATAACCATTGTTCAGCCAGAAGCGAAAGATCAAAAAGCAGAAGTAAAAGATCAGAAAGCAGAAGTAGAAGTAAAAGATCGGAAAGTAGAAGCAGAAATAGACGATCTTTGAGCAGAAGTAGAAGTAAAAGAAGATCTAGATCACAAGAATCTCATTCATCTATGCAGTCGATGCGTAGTAACAATCACCTAAAGCATAAAAGCCTTAGCGAAAGAGAAATGTTATTAGAAAAATATAGGTAAATTTATACAATAGCATTGTCGATGCACTTTATTTATAATCACATTATTAATTTTATTATTTTCATGCATTAGGCGCAATTATTGTGCAACAAGCGAGGATATCAAGAGAAAATTAAATGAATTGGAAAGTGATGGGACGTTTGAAAGAAAAATTTGGACAAGAACTGCACCAGCTGATTTGTATTACAATAGGGATGAAAAAAAGAGTAAATTAATGAGAGGTACTAAAAAATTAATCGAACTTTGCGACGATTTTAAAACAATACTTATTGATAGAGCCGATGCTGCAAGAGCAGATCATGTAAATTAATTTTTATCATCAATTTAAAAATTATTTAAATACATCTATTTTTTTTTTGACATTTGAAATTACGTGCTTTCAGTCTCCTTATGAACCACCTCCAAGAAAAACAAGAGCGCGTCTTTGCAGACATAAATCAGAAGCTTGTAGTAGCTCTTCGACGGACAGCGATGACTCAGTTGATGAGGATGATAGAACTATGGAAGAATTGATGGCTAAGAAACAGCATCCTCAAAGGCTTCATCCTGAAATGTGGTTTAATGATCCTGGCGAAGTAATTAATAATCATGGATAATTAAATAATTTCCCAAAGTTTATAACTTATAAAAATATATACCATTTAATATAATATAATTTAAATATTGTTATGATTACAAGTTTGAAAATTAATTTTAGATGAATGACGGACCATTGTGTAGATGTAGTGCAAAATCACGTAGATCTGGTATCCGTCATGGCATATATGCCGGAGAAGGAGCGTTAGAAAAATGTGATCCCAATACTAATAATGCAGATAAATTATTTCATTATCGAATAACCATTAGTCCACCGACAAATTTTCTTACAAAAACTCCTACTATTATCAAGCACGATGAGCATGAATTTATATTCGAAGGGTTTTCAATGTTTTCGCATTTTCCTTTAGTAAAATTGCCAACGTGTAAAGTTATACGTTTTAACATCGAGTACACTGTTCTGTACATTGAAGAGAAGATGCCCGAAAATTTTACAATCAGAGAGCTGGATTATTTTCGTAAGTTCCTTTCAAGTTCTATGTTCGGTTATAAAAGTAAGATGCAAATAAATATAATTACACGTAGGTGACATTATTAATGTATTTCAGAAAATTATTTATTTCAAGAAGTCTTAGAATTAGTAGATTTTGACTTACAGGCTGCTCAAGATAAAAATGGTTGTGGTCAATTTCATTTTATGCCAAGATTTGTCCGCGATTTACCTGACAATGGCCAAGAAATATTGTCTATGAATGAAGTTTTAAGTTACCTTATAAAAAGTAGTTCTTTATTGATTAATCCGGATGAATTACCCAAGTTACTGGAAATGCCACAGTTTCAGTGGCAAAACTTTGCAGATGAGGTTAAGGGAATGGTTGTTACGTATCCAGGTAAAAAACCTTGTAGTGTTCGAGTGGATCAATTGGATAGAAGTCAAACAGATCAACCACCAGGTGTTATCGCTTATCCCGAAATCGTTCATTTCGGTATTCGACCGCCTCAACTAAGTTATGCTGGAAATACCGAGTGAGTAATTGTAATTTCAATACTTATTGGTTCGCATAAATTTTGGTATAATTATAATCAATTCAATCAATGTTATCATTATTATTAATTAACTTTTTTAATTAAGTTTTTCTATTGTGTAGTAATAAAATTAATAATTGACAATTATATAAAAAAAACTTTGAATTTTAAGTGAAACCTTATTTAAAACGTATGAGAAATTTTATGAGAATTATGAGAAACATTAAAATATGAGAAAATTGATGAGATAGGGCGACTAGTAGCTACATTTTCAAAAAATGTTTTCCTAATAATTGAATTATAAACAAGTAAAGAAAATACTAACGTATATTATTATCTGACGATTATTACTATCGAGAGGTTTAAAAACAAATTACTAGTTATTTATACATATATACGCAATTATATTTTGTCAAACACTACTATATCCTTTTCCTTTAGAATTTTTCTTAAATTTAAATTTAGCATATAATTTATTGGAACTTTTATGGATGAATAACGACAATAACGACGGTGATACAGTATAATGAAAGAGAATTATAAAATTGGTGTGTATAAAACTGTGGTTTATTAGTTAAATACGAAATTGTAATGATACATTTTATTTAACAATTATTTATGGAGAAGGTGAAATCTTACAATTATATTTGCATTCTATTTGATAATAATAAATATTTTGTTTGAACATTATATGCAAGAAAACGAACGACAAACAGTTTTAAGTACAAATATTTAAAATTTTTGTTTATATTAAAAGTATGCATGACGAATGCGTTTCATCTACTGCCAATTTACCAAATTTAAATATAAATTTATAAACCAAACGATAAATTCTGACGGAGATATTTTTAAAAACTTTTAGACTTTTTTTATTTGGAAATCTTGAATTTCTTTATTACTATGATTTTTTTTTTTTTTTTGCTACATGACACTGGAATTTTATTTAATTATTAAAAAAGTTATAATCCATTTTTTTGTAATGTAAAGTTATTTTATTAAAGTATTAATGTATAAAGAGAGGATAAAATAAAATAAAGCAATGGGCAAATAAAGCATTTTAAAATTGAAAATTGAAAAATTGAATGTTCCATTATGTTCCATTTTATTTTAAATGATTCTTAATTGTTTCATTTTCTTCTATATTGTTTTGTTAAAGCAAATAATGTACGATATAACTATTTATAAAATATATTAAATATTATTTGTATTACATATTGTTTTTAAATATTATATGAAAAATTGTTGATAAAAATTTACATCATACAATTTGCGTCTTACAAATTGCGAAAACTATAAGCTTATTAATCACTGATAAAATATTTACATTCTATTTGATGCCCTAATTTACGAATAATTATTTAAGTATTTTAGTATTTTATATTTTCTGAAGAATCTATTGCATTTGCTAAATCGGAAATATATTGAGATTTTTCCATTACGTTTCATTAATGCAATACTCTTTCGACGGTATTAGATAAATTAATATAATTGATGTTTTTAATAATATGATTTTTATTCATGAAAAAAAAAAAAAAAAAAAATTAATAAACGATTTTCTGTAATAAACATCTTGTAGCTATCAGAGAGCTTGGCGCGACTATGTCAAGTTTCGCCATTTGCTCGCCAATATGCCAAAGCCATCGTTTGAAGACAAGCGTAAGCTCGAAGCTAAAGAAAATAAACTTCAAGAATTACGAACTCAGAGCAAAATGAAACGAGACGTTACAGTGGACGTTAGCTCCGATGGTTTTTATCGTACCGGAATTATGTGCGATATTGTCCAGCATGCGATGCTCATACCTGTCCTTGTCTGTCACCTGCGTTTTCATAAGTCTCTAGATAATCTCGAACAATCTCTCAACTATCGATTTAAAAATAGATATCTATTGCAACTGGGTAATAATTGATTTATCGTACATTACATTTTAAATTCATAGTTTAAAATCGACCTGTTTCTTTAAATGTGATTCTTTGTTAAATTGTAAGCGATTTACATCAAGACATTTTTAACTATTCAATGATATATTACTGCAGGTACGAAAAAAAGAAAAGAAAAAAAAGAAAAAAAAAAGAAAAAAAAAGAAAAAAAAAACCAGAATAAATACATAAAGCACAATGGCATGTAAATTAACTATAATATAAAATTAATTATAATCAACAATGAATTTAACGCTTGAATAGTAATTTAAAATTATTTTCACAGTAATCATGAATTTTGAATGGAAATTAAAAGTTAAAAAAATGTTGATGTAGTTTATTTGCAAATTTATTTCAAATTGGCATTACGTTTTCGCAATATTATCTCTCAATTAGTAATCTGTGACTGAACATTTATTCTTTTTGTTTGTTTGTTTGTTATTAATTTGAAAATTAGCACTAACTCATCCAAGTTATCGAGAAAACTTCGGCACGAATCCAGATCATGCAAGAAATTCATTGACTAACTGTGGTATTCGTCAACCAGAGTATGGCGATCGAAGAATTCATTATATGAATACGCGAAAGCGGGGCATCAATACTCTCATTAATATTATGTCGAGATTCGGTGCCAAAAAGGAAACTGAATCATCAATAGCACATAATGAAAGGCTGGAGTTCCTGGGAGATGCGGTTGTTGAGTTCCTTACCTCGATACACCTGTTCCATATGTTTCCAGATTTAGAGGAAGGAGGATTAGCTACCTATCGAGCCGCCATTGTTCAAAATCAGCATCTCGCTGTGCTTGCGAAGAAGCTAAATTTGGAACAATATATGCTTTATGCTCATGGAAGCGATCTGTGCCATGATTTGGAACTAAGGCATGCGATGGCCAATTGCTTTGAAGCTTTAATGGGTGCTTTGTTTCTCGATGGCGGTATTAAAATAGCTGATACTGTTTTCGGTGAGACACTTTTTAAAGAGGAGCAGGACCTGTTGAACATGTGGGTAAATTATCCCAGGCATCCATTACAAGAGCAAGAACCAACCGGGGATAGACAATGGATACCGAGTTTTGAGTTACTACAGGTATTCGTTATACTATTCTATTTACAGTTTGGGAGATTTATTTATTTATTTATTTGTTTATTATTATTATTATTATTATTATTATTATTATTATTATTATTATTATTTTTCTCTCTTTACAATAAAGACGAATTTGCCTCAGTTTGGCTCGAATTAAATAAGGTACGACGAGTATCCGAGTTGATGGATTATCCGTGATATTCTTTAGTCGGGTTGTTCTTGTATAATCGGTGCGAGGTGAGACCAGATACCCACGCTACGTCATATTCACGGTAGCACAATAAGCGATTACGAATAAGCGATCTTCGACATTATTTACTTTATTCATCGACTTTGCTCGTATTTATATGGATATTTTAATGTCATTGGATATCGATTAATTTTTTTTCTTCTTTTTTTTATTCTTGTTATCATACTTTTAATTACAAAGAAATAAGTTAGAGCATTATTGGGAAGAGTCCCAATCGTCAATCTCGCTATCTCTCTTACAAGGGATGTCTAATTCATTGCGTAAATTGGGGGGGGGGGGCAAAAAAAAAACACGGTAAGAACGATATGTATCTCTATATAGTAAATTAAATTTAGAATTTTTATTTACAATCGAGCCCATTCATACATTCGTGCACTTCGAATTTCAAATTGTTGTCATATTATAATCGAGGGTGTAGTCGAATAAACGTGCTGGCTACATTATAAGTTTAATAATCCATTGAATTGATTATATTTTACAGAAACTGACCAAATTTGAAGATGGTATTGGGGTAGAATTTTCACATATTCGCCTTTTAGCTAGAGCATTTACAGATAGAAGTATCGGTTACACGAATTTAACATTAGGCTCTAATCAACGCTTGGAATTTCTCGGAGATACAGTATTACAATTAATAGTATCGGAGTATTTATACAAATTTTTTCCAGAACATCACGAAGGCCATTTATCGGTAAGATAATTTTTAATTTTTAATTTACTTATTTTATACGCACTTTCATATTATAATGTAATTAATGGGCGAGTGTTTAGTAATAGAATTAAGTTCTTTCCTCTCATATTTTCTTTTTTGAAAATTTACAAGACATTTGAAAGAATTCTAATTGCTATATTGTTTATTAAAATTGTAGCACAATAATTAATTTTTTCCTAGATTTGTGAATAATTTAGCGCGGTTTCGTAACGATTAGTTCGTTATTTTATCTACTTTATTGCGATAATTGAGAATGATATTCTCTGATATCACAAAATTTAGCCAAAGTCTTTCCCCGCATTTTATATTTATTGTTTATTTACTTTATTATTACTAACAGTACGTAATCATTAAAATATTTGAAATTATTTTAAACACCTTAATTTCTTGGTATTGATGAACTCTTCTTTTCATTAATTATATTATTTCTGGAAACAGTGTGTTTCTAGTCGATACATAAGTATTACATCATTATTACTTAATAGTTAACAGTTATTTTCATTTTATCAATAAGTTTGCCGATATTTTTGCAACTATTGGCGAGTTTTTCAATTTGTTAATACAATAAAATAATTATCTATATAATTATTATATTTGAAAATACAAAAAAAAAAAAAAAAAAGAAACGTTAAAAATTTAATAATGTATTTTATTATTTTGTATTTTTCATATAAAGCATAATAATTTTTTTTCTCTAAGTTTCTATTAAAATAAAATTGCGAATCTTTAGCAACTACAGATAATCTATAAAGTAGTACAGATGGTTCAAATAAATGCTGTTGATACATATCTCATAAGGTATGTATCACGCGAGTGTTAATTAAATGACACAATTAAGCTATTTAGTATTAAATCTAAAATCACAGTAATGCTGATCTCTTTTTATAAATGCTTTTAAGCAGATAAATTTGCAATTATGGGAGAGTTTAATTACGATTCCAATAGGGCTAAGAAAATTAATAATTTTAGTAATTTTCGATTAAAAAGAAAAATCCTTTGGGTATATTAGTAATAATGGATTTTCGATCAAAATGGAAAATATTTTATTAATATTATGTTATATTTTATAAACATTTTCCCGTATAAGAGTCGATGTATGAGAATCAATGTACAATGAATGTACTATTACATTTTGCTTTGAGATCACTTTCAAGTTGTTAAAAAATTTAACATTTCTTCACTACTTCATCATGATGCAAGCTTATGAAATTTCGAAATACTATCTACTTCATGTTAAAATATGATTATTTTAAATTGCATTCCTTTAGATTATTTACAAAATATATGAATATTGGCTCAATCGATTTTGTCAAACATACATATTCGTAATTACGGAATGCGTTGATACGTAAAAAATTGCGCTTTGGTTCATTTTAATTACACTTTCATTAAAATTAGTTTAAATTAAATATTAATCGTGAAAAATAAACTATATGATGCGTTTATGTAAATTTTCTTATGGAAAATCCGACGAATTTGATAATCATTACGTAATAAAACATGTTTAGTAGATAAAAGACAATCATTACAATGAATATTCATTACATTGATGAATTTTTCTTATATAATTAAAAAAATTATCATTATTTAATTGAACTTTACAAAAAATTGAATTATCATTTATCATAAATATAATAACGAATTCTTTTATAATTTCTGATAATCGTGTCTCTCTAATAAAAGCTTTCTTCGATTGCATTGGTCTTACATTTTCAATAAAGTAATAGTAGCCATGTCATTGTCAATTTTTATAATAGAAAATTATTGTTTTTCGATTTGCAGTCATACATATACTCATATCAAATTGCATTTTACGAAAATTTAGATGGGATGCCATTAGATGCTTGCATCGTGCTAATATCAAAAAAATAATTATTTCCGCAGATATTTACAAAATTAAGAGAAATATTATTAATATTGGATTATGTTTTATTATATTCACTCATTATTAAGTGTATTATGGTTGCATTATTAAGTACAAATATAGAATCTCATGATTTATAATAAAAGCTGATTAGAACATTTTTTACCGAGGATATTTATCATTTATTTACTAATTAGATATTGACAATTACATAATGACTTAAATTAGAGATTTTTTTCACAATAAACGTTCACGCATGCGCATAAATTAATTTTTTTCGAACTTTTCGAACTTCGAATTAAACAAATTTTAGTGAAAACCTAACTAGAATGAGCTGAATTATAGATTTTTAAAATAAAAAGACCATTATGGTGAATATTTACGAAGATAGGAAATTTTAAATATAGATCGATAGAAAGTTTGTGTTTTATTATTTTTAAAGTACGCAAAGGGCGGTATATTTTTTTTAATTTTTGTAATTTGTAAATGAGTATTATGATATAATGAATATTATGTCGAAATGATTTTCAAAAATGATGTCTAGTCCGAGGTAGCTAGAAATAATTTTGATATATATACGCACGCACGCACGCACGCACGCACGCACGCACGCACGCACGCACGCACGCACGCACGCACACACGCGCGCGGACACAAACGTATATATGTATCTATATCGATTGGGCTTCTATTTAATCTTTTCGGGTTGTTACATTTGTTTATATGTTTTTGCTAAGGGATGGAGTATGGGGCACAGAATTACCGACCCTTTATAATAAATTTATAAAGTCTTTAATTAAGATATGTAATATAATTACCTACAATGTGCAATTACTTTTCATGTATTATTTTACATTACAGCTTTTGCGTAGTTCATTGGTTAATAATAAAACACAAGCCGTTGTATGTGATGATTTAGGCATGACTCAGTATGCTGTTTACGGAAACCCTAAGGCGGAGCTAAAGACAAAAGATAGAGCAGATTTGCTAGAAGCATTCTTGGGTGCTCTATATGTTGATAAGGGTTTGATATATTGTCAGGTATTTTGCAATGTTTGCTTCTTCCCTCGTCTTCAGGACTTTATAATGAATCAAGACTGGAATGATCCAAAGAGCAAGTTACAACAATGCTGTTTAACTTTGCGCACTATGGATGGAGGGGAACCGGATATACCTGTATATAAGTTAGTGCATTTATTATCTACTTTGATATTTATTTATTTCAAATAGCTAACAATTGCCGATATCGTTTGTGTTGTATTTTAGAGTAATCGAATGTAAAGGCCCTACGAATACACGTGTTTATACAGTTGCTGTATATTTTCAAGGAAAGCGATTGGCTAAAGCATCTGGTCATAGTATTCAAGAAGCTGAAATGAATTCGGCTAAAGAAGCTCTCGAAAAATCTCAAGGTATTACTATTTTTTAAAAATAATATTGAATATTGATATGCATTTTTAACAAATTTTTTAATAACGTATGAGACAAAAAAAAAAAGAAAAAAGAAAAAAGAAACGTGGATATAAAATTAAGAGTTTTGTGAAAAACACGATAGGATACATAAATATTTAATTCTAGCTGACTGCTAAGCAATCCGTAAAGGTTCAATAATTCTATTGAAAGTAATGTAATGTAATGTGATGATGATTGATTGCAATGTAATGATTGACTTTTCAGATTTGTTTCCTCAACTTGACCACCAGAAACGTGTGATAGCTAAAAGCATGAAGATGCAGAGCTGGTCACAAAGTTTATCCAAGTATCGAATGCTTCATTCTTACAAGTTGGATGATCGTAATTCCGAAGACTCGGACATCGAGTCACATCGGAAGCGTCGCAGTCGTAGCCGGGAACGCGATAAGCGCAATAGTCGTTCTCGTGAGCGGTACGATAGCGTGGATAGACGATTGCGAGATCGTCACGGTAAACACGAGAGCAGCAGCAGTCCCTCCACAAGAAATAAAAGTGCAGAAAGAAATTCTAGTTCAGATAATTCTATTTTAAATTGCGTCGATAATGTAGCACAAGAGGAGGAAGACGAGAGCGTTAAAGTTGGCAAGAAACGAAGGAGGATATCAGTTTCCTCGGATTCTAGTAGTAACGAAGCTTGCAACAGTAATGTCTCTGAGCTTGAAAGGAAAAGTGAGATGCCTTTTTCAGAGAAGAAGATTAAGAAAATAAGACTTTAGCAGTTTCGAGATTCATTTTCCTAGTACAAAAGCTGGTTATTATAATTTGCCAGTATTTGTCAATTTTCTTCGAATCAATAGGTATATTGGCTTGATGAAAATTGATAAAGGGTTGTCAGTTTGAATATTAAGATGAAAGGTCATGCCATATTATTGAACTGGATTATATATTAAAAATAATAATAACAAAAGTGAAGCCGAACCGTCATTTGTGGAAGTATAGATATTAATTTTTTTATCATTGAATTTCTTACTTTGACATTAGATTAAGGAGAATGCATTATTTTTACTAAAAACTTCCAGTGGCAATAGATGCAACATCTTAATGGAGATTAAAACAGCAGGGATATTCGCACTTTAATCTTATAAACGACAATTACAATGATGTTAATAAAAAGAGTTATATTTAATCTTATTAAAATTCGTATTATTTTATAATTTGTATTTACATTATCTTATTTATTAAATTTTCACGTAGCTATTTGCATTGCAAGATTAGGCTGTTTTTCAGATAATATCGACGAATGCTTTGAAATAAGATTTTGGCACATGTTCATATTATTTAAAATATTACTCAGATTCCAATGTTTTGACAATAATGAATCTTTTACATGAAATAGACCATATTGAGAGCAGTGTAAGTAATTGCAATGAGCCGTACTATGAAGTTTAATACCTATTTCTGCAGTTACACTTTTTAAATATTCCGATGATGTATTTATACACACAATTTCTAGAAACGAAAATATTTTTTTATGTTAACGCTGACATTATTAAAGTTTATATAGAATAGCAATGTTTACCTAATGTAAATTCAGGTGGTGTAAAATTAATGCACTTGATTGAGTATAATAAGGGAATATTAGGATCATTTGGCCTTATAGGTCCTTTAACAGCTAGCTCGTATGCCTCTTGACTCTGTATATCTAGTCCGCTAAGTCTAAAATATTTTATATCGCATAAAATTAAAATTAAAATTTATTTAAAACAATTTGCATTAGCATATATTATCAACATACTGGAACATCATTTTCTGATGGGAAGCCTGCATCGATGCACATACACGATCGATATGCTCTCTTCTTATATGTTTCCAAGTAGATTTTTCAACAATTGCTCCATCCATGAAATTGTTTCTTCTCATTTGTCCTAGTATTCCTTTTACTTTATATAACACCGTTGGTCGAAATTCTTTAAATACATACCTAAGTCTTGTGCCATAATTGATTGCGACAACTAATACCCCAGAGGTGTCTATATCCAAATTATTCACCGTAACCATTCTGAAGTTTTTCTCTCTAAACCGTGGTCCAACTACAAGAGGATTATCCGCGTAACTATCTCGCACTACAACCCTCATTTCCTTATTTGTTGGCCCTTCGATACTTACATACTTCATAGGTGGGCGCACTTCTAGCTTATTGAAATCTATAATATTTGACATATTTATTTACATATATTGTGGTATTTAATGAATTTTTTTTTTACTTCAATATATAGTTAAAGCAAGATAATTGTATTTTTATTACCTCTTTGTAAATTCAAATTTAACGTGTTTAGAGTTCCTAAATAATGAATTCCCGCAGGTTTGAAAACAAGAAATATTCCATTTAACGTATTCCAGACTGAATGTGCATCTTTAATAAGTTTGCCCATTATTTTATGTGAAAAAAACTTCAATGAGTTTTGATAAATAACCTCTTGGAGAAAAAAAATTAAAATTATTGTATTAATATGATAAAACTCGTTGTCCAAGTCATCTTTTATTAATAGCGGAGAACTGAATAATGATGAATTCAATTATGATTATAAAATTTATAATCACATTATTTATTCATTATTATTGTTATATTTGAATATTAATATAATAAATGTAAAATAATGAACAAATTCAGACGATTTCATCTAAGTTTTGTTTTTCTATTGATATAAAATACTACAGCGCCATCTATTCCTCACGGCTCGTTACGATTAAGTATTAATCTGCCAGTAATTTGCTTTCTAAGGTAATTTATTAAATAAATATTTCGTAAATTTTATTGTAAGGAAGATGAACACAAAATATACAATTTGCAATATCACCATCAAAATTTTCTCGAATGGAATTTATAACGTTAAGTTATAGTTAAGATTTGAAAAATAACATAGGTTATAGTGATTGTATTTTGTTCTATCAATTAAGCTGTATTATTCTTTCATATTGCAATATTATAGTGAATAAATAGAAATTATTGGAATTAGTAATTCTTGGAATAAATCGTACTTTATTTTCAGCATATAAAATCAGGATGGCGAATGACGATAAATATCCTGCTCAATTACTTGAAACTGTGAAAGACGTTGAGATCGATTCTAGTGGAATTTTTAAATATGTTTTAATTGAAGTTAAGTCTAGAATACATTCACAAACTCTGAAAACAATAGTTAGAGGTACCAGTCGTTTCAAATGGCATGGTGAGTAAACATCATTTAAATTATTTCATGATTTACGTTCTTTATTTTATTATTGTTTTTATTGAAAAGATAGTTAAAAAAAAAAAAAAAAAAAAAAAAAAATTAGGTTTTAATAGTAAATACAGATTTTATTTCTTATGCGGTGCTCTTACATTTCCTTAAGTTTTCAATATTTTGTTAAAAATTAATCGCACTGACAATTTATTTTCATGGCATAATGTTAGATGTCACAACTATGAAGTACACAAATATATAAATAATTAGATTTATTTATGGATTATATAATTTTTAGATATTATAATTTAGGTATGTTTTGTTAATAGATATATTTTTGTATTTATAAAAACTGTTAATTGAAGAAAAACAAGTATATTAATTTTTTAAAAATTATCAAAATTAAATTCTTACAAATAAAATGAATTTGTTTTTTATTTACATCTAATCTATGTATGATATTAGAATTTCATTCAGTTTTTTAAAATTAAACCATATAAATAATTGTAAAATAATATTTTTGTATTGACTTCATTAATTTGTACATTGTGTTGGTTTTAAAATTGTAATTAATATAAAGACTAATTTTATTAATTCAAAGTATAATAATTTATATGCATAATAATATAAATGTTTCCCTTTCTGTTTCTAAAATAACGTTCTTTCATTTTTATCTTTAAAATTTAAGTGTATATATATTTATATATATATATATATATATATATATATATATATATATATATATATATATATATATATATATTAATAAATAAAAATAATTGTGGCATTGCTAATTTTGTATTACAATATTTTTTTTTTAATTTCGTGTGTTGGAGTTGGTTGTCATTATTAACTATATTCCAGAGAGTGATTAAAACTTTAATGCATCCTTTATTAATCAAACAAATTTATAATAAAATAAAGATATGTTATATAATTCTAAATCTTTTATCGATTTCAATTATAAAATTTTTAAGATAATTTTATTCTGATAATTTAACAAAATACTTGTATTTTTATTTGTATTGTAATCACTTATTTTATATTATAATTTTGTTAATAGTTCCTGTAAATATTGTTATGCAACTCATTCGTTCTGATAGTTGTTATAGGTTTTTTGTTTTGAAATGAAAAATTTTATATAAAGAAGCAAAATACATTTTACTAGTGTCTACCATTGTTTTACCAGTTTTACTTAATTTATTATTCACAACTGGAATATTTAATGTTAAATATTAAGAAATAAAAGAAAATATATTTGTTGCAGTTTTAAAATTCTTATGGTATAACGCTTATTAATATTATTATTTACAATTTATACAATTCATTATAAACATTATATTAGTGTAAACATGTTAGCGATTAGATGATACGATTAGAAATAAATGTTACAATAAGGTATTTGTAATAAATATTTATAGTGCTGAAATTAATTTTATGATTGTTTTTCATTTGTATATTCGGATAATAGAATAAAAATAGCTGTTGTTCATACTTTTAATAAATAATTAAATTAAACTAAGAGCCTGTAGCATTTTTATGTTTTACAAAAAGTTGTATTGAAATATTGTTTATTTATGAAATTTATATTAAAATGTTACAAATATTTGTATATTTAAAAGTACCTAATCATGCGTATTATTTATATGCAAAATATGAAATTTAATATAATCTTATGAGTTATAAAATAGGAATAAAAATCAACAGTTGACGCAACAAATCAATTGAATAATTTGTTCTCCTACATTGCATATAATAATATAATGTTTAGTTTTTTCATAAAATTTTCGATGAAAATTATATTTACATGGTTAAAGTGTTGTAACAGTTTAAATTTAAACTATATTTTTTAATAATAGTATGTAATTATCAAATTACGAAAATTGTTAATACAGTTGAATAACTGTAAAAACTGTAAAAATGGCTTGTAAATTAAATTGTACGTCAATAAATCTCTTCTCTATATTTTACGTTAGATAGTTAAAAAATAACCAATTCTATTAAATGATTCATATTGCGTATTCAATTGAAGTTGTATCAGTTTATAAACAATTTTCTTTTACATTTAGCTATAGATTACAGCATAGTATTAGCTACTGCTAATTGTAGTTTTCGGTGGATCATTGTTTAAAAAAACAAAAAAATAACGTATATGCCATAATGTACAAGAATGCATAAAGCTTATGAATTTGTATTTTAATAATGAGATTTGTATTTTACATAATTTTAAATAACTTTCGGAACAAGTCTTTAAACTGATATATCAATGTAAAGTAAGTATTTGTATTTTTTATTTTAGTTTTATCATACATACAATAAAAAATATAATCTATTCAACTAATAAGAAATGAAAATAAGCTTTAAAACTGTAATCTGCATGTATTTATTTTAAATTTTACATAAAACACACGATTAAAAAACAACACGTATTCGTAAAGCTAATTTTCACAATTCATTTTTGTCTTTTTTCTCGGATCAATAGATTTCGTTATGAACTAGCTTTTCGCAATTAGATTTTTCGCTGTCTATTCCGAATTGTCCTCTACCTGGACGAATCTCGCATCATCCTTGAAGTTTATCTGTAAACTCTTTTCTATTTTTTCTCTTTTCTATGTTTTCACTATCCCTATCTTCTATAATCCCGTCATCCATCTCACTTTCACATTCGCCCTTTCATCGGTAAGATATTCGAGTAGTGTTCATAGGTAAATGATAGAGCAGCGGACAAATTAGGAGGCGCGCCTGAAGCAACACCAAGCCCTTTGTATTCCAAAGCTTTCTTTGCAACTGCGTTCGCTCGTCGTCAGCGATCCTCCCTTCAAATTACGGCTGCTCGTTCTTTTCGGACTCGTCGTCGTCGCCGTCTTCGTGGTTGTTGTCGTTGTCGTCGTCGCCGTTGCCGTTGCCGTTGCCGTTGCCATTGCCATTGCCATTGCCCTTGCCCTTGCCACTGTTGTCATCGTCGTCATCGTCGTCGTCATCGTCGTCGTCGTCGTCGACGCCATCGTCATCGTCCTTGTCGTCGTCGTCGTCGTCGTCGTCGTCGTCGTCGTCGTCGTCGTCGTCCCCGCCGTCGCTATCGTTGTCATCGTCCTCATCATTGTTGTCACTGTTGCCGCTGTCGTCGCCGCTGTCGTCGCCGCTGTCGTCGCCGCTGTCGTTGTTGTTATCGTCGCGTGCCGGGCCTCGTATTCGAGAACGGCACTTGCCTCCTCTCAGGTACTCGATTCTACCTCCTCCTCGCTCAACTGTTGCTCTATAAGGTCTGCGTTCGATATGCTATCTCGTCTCTTCGTTTGCTTCGACGCCAGCGTCGTCGGCACCAGAACCCTAGAAACACGTGACGACGACGGGAAGTTTATTATCCAGACGCTTGCAAATTCTTATTAGCCCTGCTTTAATATCGTAGGTATGCTATTAGTCATGAATTTTTGAGAATATATAATGTTAAGAGTAATGAACATAAGTCAAGTATTGCTCTAAAGATGAAATAAAAATGCCAAGAATGTACGTATGCGTTCGTTTAAACGCATATTCTTTTTAATGGAAAGTTTAAAGGAAATTTAATAAGCGCTTGAGTGTAATTACTTGACAAGACGAAAATTTTAATGGAAGAACAATAATAAGGCTAATTGAATAATTGAGCTTGAAAGGTAATACAGTAATTAGCATCGATAGGTTTCTCCATTAACTTATAAGCCTATCTATCGCACTGATTTGTGAATATTTCTCTAAATTTTATTGATATGTATAATTTTAGAAATATTCCTACTGTCAAACTGCCTTTAACGTTAAATAGAACATATGGCTTAGTAAAAAAAATAATATTATACATTTTTTAAATACCATACTACAAATTCTTTGAAGATAAATAGCAATTTTTATAGCAATAAAGTATAAATATTCAAAAAATTAATTTCGTTAATAAACTAGAAAATTGGACAAAAATTTTATTTATTAGTGCAAGAAATTCGATTATTTATGTGAATTTGAAATATTTTACAATAATTTATTTATTTCTCTCCCTTCTGTGTTTTTGTAAACGTAATTGAAATGAAATGTTCAAATTTGAATTTCACATAGTGTTTAAAAAGAAGACATTTATCAAATTTACAATTTAATAAAATCAGTATCACTCATATTTACGTATTTAACGAAATTTTAATTTCGCTATAAACAAAATCTTTTACTATCAAAGAGTTTATTAGCAATAAGTTTATTCGTAATATTATTTTGTCAAGAATTTTTTTTTACAATTAAGTGTACAACTACTTTTTCAATGTAATAGTAGAAATAAAAATTATAATAAAATTCTTATAAAAATAGGGATTCTTTGTGTGGTGGGTTAAGTAAAATTTGTAAATAAAATTTTAAGATAAATTAAAAAATTAAAGTAACATTTAACAGTAACAATAAAGAAATTTAATATCAACGACTCTATTCATCACATCGTTAAAAAATAATTAGAAAATAAATAGAATTAATAAATTACAATTAATAAATAATTTGTAAAATTATGAATTTATTTAATTTTTGATTGAGTATAACGTGACCACACTATTTAATAGATTGTGGGACAACGCTAATACGAATATTAAAAAATTTCGAAATTAGATACAAAATCATATACATTTTCATAAATATTAATACTTTATATATTATTCGGTAAAAACATCTTTTGTATTCTTAAAGCATTATTTTTCCGACAAATTTAATTTTGACGAAAATTGCAGATGATAAAGTAAAAATTTCAATTTTTATAATACATAAATCGCTTATATTTGATTAATACTGAAATCACAGATTCTTTGATTGAACATTGAATGTAATGAGATAATACTAGTAATGAGATCGTGAAAGAGTGAAGCCGGTTCGTTAAACAATTACATTGATTGTGGTTGGAGTTTAAGAAAAAAAGCGCTTCAAAGTTTAAAATAATATTTATGCGTTGTTTGTTGAAAAATTAAATAAAAATTGTATTTATAATTTTATACAAAATTATCCAAGCCTAGCGTATAAGTGAAACAAATGTTTGCCTTCGATGGTGTTCATAAGCTTAATTTATATTCGACAATGAAGTGTTCCGAAAGCTCAAATCGTATAAAATTTATCCAATTGCATTTATACATTCGCGATACGGCTCATTTTCACACGGTTTTTAATAATGTTTGCATATTTTAATAAACTGTAAAACTATTCAAATGTATAGCTATTTTTAAGTATATATATATACGTATACTACCAAAACCAGTATTTGGTGTTAATTTTCAAAGAAGTAAATGTTACGGCTAACTAATGAATAAGAAATAAAAACGGTTGCTGCTTTCGGTTGAAAAGACCGAGACTCGATGCTCCCGTTACTTCCATGGCTTTACGTAGGTTTTGAAATTTTAATGGACTACTTTCAAATTGTTATTCGAAGAAAAAAAAAAGTCTAAAATCCAACAACCATTCATTCAATTATGTAAAATATCAGATTAAATTAAATGCCTTAAAATAAAGTAAATGTGAAACGCGCTTAATAAAAACATATATTCAAATAATAAATTTAGCAGTCTGTGATGTGCATTATATAAAATATGCGTTTCGACGTCGCATCAATTGCATTCCTACGAGCGATTTACCCAATGTCACTGATATTAGTCGTGTTGCGCTCAATGTTTTTGCCTGGGCTCTCGTCTTGATCCTCGTCGCTCGTGTTGTCCTTATCGATGAACGGCAGCGTGTCCTCGTTCGGATCGTCGACGGTCTCGATTTTGTCGAGGATGCGCGAAGGCATAATATGGCCAAGCGTGGGCGAGTCGCAGTAATTCAAGTCTCTGTCGTTGTGCGCGAGAGTGAAGGGCAACTTGAGGGAAACAACGCCGCCAATCCACTCGCCGATCGGCGATACCACAATCTTAACCTGGAACAATGATAAGCGAAAGTTATTTTGGTCGCGTATTGGGCGCAAAGGGCACGCGAGTCCAGCCGTCGATATTGCCAAACATCGATATTTTCATTTTTAAAGGCATTGGTGTGGCGTTAATCCATCGCCTGCATAGGTGTTTAGAGAAAGCTTGGTAAGTGAGAGTGATATTGACTTGTTGGGATCAAGCTCCAAGGTTAAAGGGCGCAGCTTGCAGTTTGCAATAAGATTCTCAACATAAATCGAACATGAGCAGGAATACTTTTATCGGGTGAGCAGGCGAGACCGTTCTTGACTATATCAGCAAGTGACGCAGTTTAATGCCCGATGCGAAGAGTCAGCCGTATTGATAAATAAAGGACAGTTTGGTATATTAGTGTGGGTATGTGTATTATTATGCTTACCTAAGTGATTTCTTAATATTGTAGGGTATCCGAACGAATGACTTGTTATTATTAATTCTATTTACATTCTATTATTTATTACATTCTATATATTTATATTCTATTTACATTATAGTCGTAAAAATTAGACATCAATATTCAAGATTCGGTAAGAAGAGGTAATTTTATTTTTATTTTAAAGGACATTATTACAGTTATTATAAAAATCGAAAACCGTAATCGAAAATCGAAAATATTTTGCTTTTGGTATATAAATTATCAATTAAAGTAAAAATAATAAATATTTCATTTACTGTGTTAAATTATACTATATCATTTAATTATTTTTAAATTCAAATATAAATAGTTGATAAATCGTGAATATCATATCTTCGTGACTATAGTAACAAATGTCAGTTTACAGTATCTTGACAAATTTCACGTTTTTAATTATTATTAATTATCAATTATTAATTTGCCATTAATTTTTACATATTTTATAAATTACAACTTTAACTATTAGTATTTTAATAAGCGGATATACCGATTCAAAGCTGCTACATCTTTAATTAAAACTTAATGTGCATTATATCGATTTTCAATTACAATAGAATAAAATGAATAAATGTAATTATGTATAAAATTTAATACAAGAAATATTTTTAGCTTTATTAATTATTATTAATGTGCACGTATGTGAACTGTTGTCAAATTAAAATCATCTTTTATATAATAGCAATTGAAATATTATATTACACTTAGAATAACAAATATTAACAATAGTGCATAACCATGTTTAAAAAATCTTTAACATTTAAATTAATTATGATTTTAATGTAGAAGTTTTATCTTATTTCTATGTTAAACAATATCGTTGTAAAGTGTATTTACTGTTGAGTACTATATAATTTACTTTATCTGCTTGATTTTTTCACGTTCTATTATAAATGAAAAATTGTATAACGAACGTGTAAAAATAAGAATCAGTGGAAATTCTTTTAGCAAGTAAAATGATGTCTAGCTTTGGAGAAGTAAATTGAATCACACGAGGAAAGCGGCTTATGCATATATCATAAAGCACTACAAGTATATTATACTTGTATATATATTTTTAACAACAATTTAAAAATTACAACAATTTACACGATTTGAATTTACGTAATTTGTTAATTAGGTCAAGAATTAGATAGAATAATAATTATTATTAGAGATGGAGATGGTGTAATTTAAAGATGTTCTTGTATTATAATTATACTCAATTAAATCTATACAGCAAGTACTTTTGTCTATACAATAAGCCTTTTGTCATATTTCTACGGTAAATATAAGATTAATAATTGTAGAATAAACGGGTTAAGTCTATTTTTAATGATGATGAAATTACTTTTTTATTTCATCTTTATGAGTTTAATCATTTCTTAAAATTTCAATCTATGTATTTGTCTATAATACCAAAAATTTAATATCATTATTTTAATTAAATTAATAAAGGTAAAAGGCTATAGCACTCTATTATATGAAGCTTCATGTTTAAAAATCCAAGCGCATTTGTAACAAGTCATTGTAAACTATCTCCTTTTTTTTACAGGCAAGTAAATTGTAGTGAATTTAATAATAATAATAAACGTAGAAAAGATTTCAAAAGGATACATTCGTAAGATTGCTTGAATAGACTAGATATTCCGTATACTAGATATTACAAATTACAATTTAGATTAGCATCATTATGGTATATTAACTCACTTTCTGCATCGGATCGAATATTGATTTCGTTTATTACTTGAATATTTTGCAATAAATGCAATAAATTTGATAATAGTTTTGCAATCACGTTGTTAATTGATTTAATAAAATGAGAAGTACATTTTTAAATACTCCAAATGCATTTATCAAGACGAAATGATAAATGAATGATATATATAATTGATGGCATTAGAAGTTCGTTTCATCTACGTAATTGAAACAGAATATTATTTTGGTTAAATTATATTCTCAACTTTACCTTAGACATGCAGAAAAAAGGATGTGTTGAATTAAAATAGTTTATTATTAATATAATAATGAATTAATAGTTGTTCAATCATGCCTGGCAATGATTTCGTCTGGTTAAATATAAAAAAAAAAAAAAAAAAACCAACAACAACGACAACAACGACAACAACGACAACAACAACAACAACAACAATAATAATAATAACAATATAAAACATGATATTCGAGTAAGTATTAATTTATGAGAAATAGCCATGTATTTTTGTATTTCAGTAAACACATACCGAAGAAATATTATAATTATTAGGATTATTTGCTGATGCGACAGTGCCTACAATATGAGTAAAACTCGCAACTTTACAATGTAATTAACTTGAAATCGGTATTTGACTCAATTCATATAATTGCTCATCTCGTTTCACCATTTATTCACTCAATACATTTAATATAATTGTGCTCTGATAAAATGGGTTATCGAGCTCTGTATTACATTTGATACGAGATATTATGAATCCACTGTAAATACATTTCCATAGTAAAGATAGCGAGCATTGACATTTTGCATTGGCAAATAACACTGAAATATAGGGAAAAGAAGAGGTCGACGGGGCACCTTGACGTAATAAGACACGTAAATGGCGAAGACGTTGCGGTCCTCGGGCGAGTTGCTCGAGGAGACGACGGTGGAGGCAAGATTGGCGCTCGCGCGCGCATACCCCGGATCATCCTCCAAGGCGATCCAGTTCTTTGTCGAGCCCTTCTCAGGTTTGAGGATGAAAGTGCGCGAGAGACTGAGGCCAGGCTCCACGGGACAACCCTCGCGCGAACAGATCTGCGCAACGACGTTTTTGAACTTGCCGTTGCTGAACATGCACACGTCCACGTGCTGAACAATATCCGCCTAGAATATTAGAGAGGAGATTCTTTTCTGATTTTTTTCTTCATTTTCTTTCTGTTCTTTTTCTTTTTGGCACTAAGATCGCAAGGGAGGGTGTGGTGGAGATTGCGAGGTTGGTATGCCAATCGCGTAGCACGTTTCGACGGTACGAGGAGTAAATTATAACTTGTGGGATGGTTAGTTGAGAGGGTTGCGGATGAACTTAGCGCTGGAATATGTCGCTATTGATACGGAATTAGGGATAAAATAGGAAAGCCAACGAAAAGCAGGAATTTCGACAATTTTTTCGTATAATAAAATTTGTCGGGTAGACCGGCTTTTTTCGTTTTGAGTACACCCGAGTTTTTACCATGTTAGTCACTGTTTTTGAAAAGTTCTCACACCGTACCCTCTCCCCCGTTCGTCCGCCCCTTTTACACTTTCTGTAAAACAAACTGTAACTTTTCGCTCGAGAAAAGCTATTTTCGAATGTGGCAAGGTTTATTCGAAAGAAAAGTTAATTTTACTTTTGTTCGTAATAAGATCAAGTATTTATTTTAGTATTAAATTTTACAGATATAATGTAAAGCTACATGTCTGAAGTTTTTGTATTTTGTAAAGCTTCTTAAAGTATTGTATTGATAGTCGTTATAGAATGAGAAATTCACTAACAGGAATTACAATATTTGGCGATAGCTCGATAAAGCAGGTCACTTTTTGAGAAAAGTACTACAGACTCGTATATAATTTATTTTATCAGGATCAGATATATTCTTATATTGCCCCTAAATATAGTGATATTGCGTATAAAAGTTATCACTACTTATTATAAGCTTTTCTTATAATTAGCGTTAGATGAAAATAAATACCTTTCAATTTTTGTTTAATGAAAATTTATTGTTTTCGATAAAACTTCAAAACAATATTTGGTTGTATTTTATAGATACTAAAAACACATGTACACGAGAAAAACTATAACATCAATATAAAATAAATTGTATAATGTTTATTTAAATATAAAAGGAAGTTCATTTTTAAACCCACATGTCATATACATCTAAAAAATATACGAATATTTAAATTATTATTTCTATTTACTTTTTTATTAGCATTTTAGCAATTAGTGTATTGTTATATATATTGAAGAAGCATTTTCACTTTTAATCGTTATATATTTTATAATACAATATAGGTAAATTATTCATATTTCATGTAATAGTTAAGTTAGTTAATATGCAATATAATAATCGCTGCACTTTTAATGGATAATCCGATGGCTTTCAAAAGAAATTTGTAAGTTTATTTTAATGAGCATTTTAGTAATCGTTATTTGGTATTCAATTAGAATATCAAATCTAATATCCTCATATTATTATGTTATATATATGCTTGTATCTTTTAAAATACATATTAAATAAATTCTGTATTATATTTTTAATACTTAATATTTAACGATTCATAATTTAATTTTACAAATATGTTAACGAACGATGGGCAAATGCTTTTAATAAGTAGCGTAAGGACATTTTGTCGTTGCAATTACAGATATTGTAATATATGTTCTATAGTTTTTTTGTAGTAGTACAAGTTTTAATGCTTTTGTTATAAATTTTTTTTAATGTTTAATATATAAGTTACGTTGAATAGTAATATGATCATTTCTATATGTGTACGGATGCCAAAAAAAAAAAAAAAAAAAAAAAAAAAAAAAAAAAGCAATAATCAAGTAAGAAAAATATCAAAAGTAAATAGTAAAAATTGAATTACGTTTAGGAATTATAAATATTAATTAGAATAGTAAAAAATCAATCGTATCTTAAATGTACAGACAAATGTGAATATTATTTATTTTCAATCATATATAATGATTGAGTATATTAATTGTTTATCACAATATTAAATATTTTTACTTACATGATTTATTCTTCGTTTTCATTCTTTGTTTATACTATGATCGATATTTTTGAAATTCAAAAATCGATATAAAAAATCATTCAATTATTAATTTTATAACTTGATATCTATATATATTAGATTGATTTTATAAATTTAATATCTACCATAACAATTAAAAAAAAAGCAATATAAGTAATAGGAGAAAAAAAATATTAAATTGAATCTTAAATAATTTTTTATGTATTTCTAATTTACTTTTAATATTTTCATTAATATCGAATAAATGTTCACAATTTGTCAGTATCTTTTATAATATGTTATACTTTACGTTTTAAGCATTAAAATTAGTTTCAAAAATTGAGATTGATTTTAGGTTTGTAAACTTCAATAGTATCGATTTCTAGGTAATTTACATTTATTATTATATTGCATGGAATTCTTTAGGGATTTCGTCGGATTAATATTATTGTTAAATAAAATTAAATATACTTTCACTCGATATTATTCAACATATTTTCAATGGCACTTTCTTCAAGGATAAAAAGTGTTTTTCTAGGCGTGGAACGTGTTATTCTAGTTTAGCGCAGTTTTCTAATTTTTCGAAATAATGTAATCTTTAAACAATTTAGGTAGTGCGGCTATTTTAGAACTTATGCAAAATTAATAAGAATATATAATAGATATGTGTTTATTTGCACATTTACCTTTGAAATTAAATTTTCGTCACATTTTCGTATCAAGTTTAAGATTTGGTGGTATGGCTCACGAATAATCATACTTGGGCCGATGATTCTAACTAGACACACAGACGGAAGCTACTCATTACTTAGTTATGTGCAAACTCAGTAATCTACTAGAAGCAGACAAGTTGCTATAATATGCTTTATGCATGATTCACAGTGACACATTAGACATGCAGAAGGTATATTCAGCTTTTTAAATCCGGAGAACAAATTTCTCTATTAAATTATTATAATATATAGGCAAATGTTTCAGTGAACGTTAATTTATAAATGTGGATTTATTTTTACGATTGATTATTATTATTATTATTATTTTTTTTTTCATTCAAATTTTCACGATATAATTGCACCAATTGAAGAACCGTGCAAGATAATTTTCACACATACCTGCACATATTCAGTTTACGAATTCAGGATATGATTAATCCCTAATTTATGTACATATCATAATGTAGTGAGATACATTAAAGTACTTGGAACAATAATTAATTAATTAATTAATAATTAATTACGATGAAGATTTAGAATTTTTTTTATATAGCTCTAAATTATCACATAAGATTGCAAATAAAAATATGTATGTTAAATATAAATATTTATTATGTAAATTAAAAAAATTCATTCTTTTATTTTAGCAATGTTTGTACAATGGTATAAATATATTTATAACTGTGAATAAGTCTATTGGTGGGAAAAAAAATTGAAATCCAATCTTTAAAGAATTTGAAATTTTTCTTAAAAATCGAATGTTAAAGTTTTTGTTTATCAACTGTTTGTTCTGCCATTTGTAAAATTTGATGCAAGTACGTTTGATTTATTTACGGTAATTCAAAATTAAGACTTACGTTCATATTAACTTTTTTTAAAAGATATATATCTATATGAAAGCTGATTTCATTGTCAAATAAATTTTGGCGCAATTAGGACTAGAAACAGCTAGACCTAAATATTACCCGTTTTTTTTTTTTTTTTTTTTTTTTAATCGTGAAATTAACTTTTAGAGGATTAGAATGTAATTTAATTCCACTGTCGTTTAACAATTCTTATTTTACATTTATACGATATATATTATTGCATTAACTTCAGTGACAATAAGAATATTAATTATTTTTATATTAAGTTTAAAATTATTTCATTGAGTTAAACATTTTTTTTTTAATAAATTTTTCAAGATATTTCTTGACGTTGTTGGACGTGAAACTAGCGAACAATACGTATGTGTAACGACATTTATCAACTCGTTTAAAAAATTTACTCGAAATAAATTTTCATTGTATTTGTCGACTTTTATCATTTAATTCTCAATTTCAGTTGAGTTTTACTTTGAATTTTTAACATTAAAAGCAAAAAAGAAAAGTCAGAATTATACGCTTTGGAAACTAATCTGGTGGATTTTTTTGCAAGACCGACCCTGATACGATCGATAGGTCGTTTTGTTCGGGTGACCTCATTTTGGAGAACGAAAATCGGCTCTATACGGTTGAGTTTGAAAAATCTTTGATACCCGGTCGTACGAATTTGAGAAAAATAGAAAAAAAAATATAATATAGTAGAGAACGGGGACTCTTAGCATATCAGCCACATAATACGAAATACCAGCAAAATGCTCAAGTGTTTTGTATCAATTTTTCATTTGGCTAAGCAACTTTAAGGACGCGATAAAAATTATTTGAAATAAAAAGTAGTTACAAAAGGCGTGGCGCATTTATTATCGAGTCCATAGAGGACTTATTTCTTACATTAATAACGACCAGTGTGGAACAAAGTTAATGTGCGTATGGATGGAGAATTACTGTGGGGAATAGAAGTTTAGTTGTAACCTCAGGCATCGCGACTCTCCATAACTCAATCCATAACATAAGAAAAGCTGCTATTGTAATAGGAGCTTAGAAAAAATGTCTTCCGTATTCACCAGTGCAATCGCAGATTTGCTATTGAACCTGATATCAGCAAATTCCTCGATCTCGGAAACTTGGCTCGAATTGGTCAAGGGTGAAAGCGAAGTTTTATCCTAAAATAGACCCTTAATCTACGTTAGCTCCTGGCAATGTATACGCTGTCACTCGTTAGCTGAACGCGTACTAGACAGCCATTGTTTATGTTGAAAACGGTTTGATCGGGGAGACGAGTGTCTGTGTAAGCGAGGACGGTGATGGGATGGTCCGGAGTTGGGAGAGTAAAGCTTGCAAGCTCATTGTAACAAGGGATGGGAGTTTTGGTTGCACGCGCAGTATGGAGAATGAGCGAATGCATCTAACCAGCTTCCATTAGCGGTTGAGTGAAGGGTCCGAATGCTGCTAAGGCTCAAGATTCTGCCTTTCGCAATCATAATCTTTAATCCGACGAGCAGGCGCTCAAGTACTTTGAGACGATTCTTTATTATCGTTGAGCGAATATCTCGAACTTGATCGCTATCAGACCGTCGATACGTATCATAATTGACCGCCAGTTGATGATATTTGGGCTCTTTCATTTCGATCGAGAATGAATTTATTTTTATCGATATTTTATATATTCTATTCGCGCACTTTACGTCGATGTAGTTATAAACTATAATTATAAACGCTATGAAAAGTTTGACAATATTTATTATAAAAGCATCGAGTCACTCCACAACTATTACGTGGCTTTAAAAGTTAGCGCGTTGTAACACAAATTCGAATATGATAACACATTTTTAAAACTGTTTAACAAACAATAATTGATGCGGAGTAAAACTTTACAGTCGTATCCTATTAATGTCCTAAAATTCTGTAATTGTTACTTATTTTTTTTTTAGTATTTGTTCGATAATCAGCAAGAATATACAAAATCTATGAAGTTTTGTTCAATTACATTGAGGTATCTGCAACCGCTTACAGATTCATTTAAACTAAGCAATATATATATATATATATATATATATATATATATATATATATATATATATTAAATTCAATAAAATTAGTAAAGATTATTTAATAAAACCATAAAAACAAATTGAATAATATTCATTAATTATAAGGATTATTATTCGATAAGCTAATTCATTTGATAAAATATCTTTTTTAAGATTTCTCAGAAATTTATTTGTACTTGTTAACAAAGTAATAATCCAAAAGATTTGAAAGATTAACTCAATCCCATAAGATGAATAGGTTATTTATATTAAAAAAATTGATATGTTTGCAGGAAGGGAATAGGAGGTAAATATGTCAAACGAAACAGAAAATTAGATGACTATAATACGAGTATAAAAGAATTTATGACCATAACAAATCAAAAAATCGTACTCATGTTTCATATTGATTATCACGCTCGTAGGATAGTTCTTGTTCTATCGGAAATAATGTCTATTTGATTTGTTATGTTACCGATTTACTCTTCTTTATGTTTCTAAATACGCTGCTTTCATAATGTATCAACTATTTGTTTTATATTATTGATGTTTCTAGAATTTTAGATGACACTTTAGCCTATTAGATTCTGCACCACGTGTCTGAAAAGCCCTTTTTCACTACGTTCATCGTAGTTATTTTACAAAATATCAAGGCAAAGCAAAAATCTATGCATATATGTGCGTAAATAATATGTACTTATGTAGTGGAAAGCAGGAGGGCTATTTTCATGTACAGCTCTCTCGTGCTTACCTTATTTTAGTTCCAAATTGTATTATTATATTTCTAATAGGTTAGGATATACACAGGCAGGGCGAGTGCAAATGTGTAGGTTTTATTGTTCGAGGGAAAATTACGAGGATGAGAAAGAGGTATGTATTAATTTTAGACAAGAGAATGTCAAATTGACACGATACTGCATACGAATGTAAGTACAGAGTTCTACAAGTTTAAAACTATTACAAAGAGCATGCAAGTTAGAGGATAATTAAAAGTAATTTTATTTATTGAAATAAAATAGCAAATATGTGATTGAAGAAAATATAATGAATCCTTAGTTAATTATATTTATAAAATAATGTGATATAAGCTACATTAAATAAGACATAGGGTAAATAATTATTGTATTAGATACATTAAACGATAGAATTCCAAATAAGCACATAGAGTTTCCATTTGTTTATCTACAATATGATAAAATTATTATATTCTTCCATTTCAAATAAAAGCATAATAATTCTGTATCTATGAAATATATCAAGTTTTATATAACATTGAAAATGATAGTTTAAAGAATATAAGCAATATCTCGTTTAAAAAATTATTTTTGTCCATATATGGGATGTAAATGCCTAGGGATATGCAGACGCACGAATGTATTTGCATTATATGCTTTCAAATATAGTATCTTTAAGTTTGACCAACAATAGGAATTTATTTTTTATTTATTATTTAAACCCATTGAAAATAAATTTTTTTATAAACCATTTTTACAACCCCCCTCCCCCTTTTTCTTTTTAAACCAATGATAATAATTGTTCTTTTTACGCATTTGATAATATTTTTTTGGAACATACATTACATTTATTTTTCTTTTCATGTGGCTTTAATTAAGCAACTCCTTAGGATTCCCTTGTTGGTAGTATATTTTCAAAGGATTTATTACTGTTTAGTTTATTGCCATTTTAATATACACGACTGGTAGTACTTTCATTTAGAATGGAACAATAAACGCAACTGCATATATCTATGTGTTACTTGTATATCTTACTTATATCAATACTTGAAATATTCGTGTTATTGCTCGTGTATTTACGCGTGATAAAAGCCATTGACGGAAACTTTTATAATATGTTATTGTTGAAAGGCTATTAGTTTAATGATGTTATATTCATATGAACATCGGTTATCCGTTAAAAACGAAAGAAAATTTTAATTCCTTAATTATTAACCCTTGTTTATTAAGCTTTTAGACAAATAGAAGTAATTAGTACTCCCCAAGTATTATTAATATTAATCGATGTTTCGTTACAATTATAATTTACTGTTTAATTAGTTTCTCAGCTTTTTCTCATTAATAATATATATATATTGAATTAAAATCATTTAGACAGAAATCTGTAAGGTCAATATATTAAAGAAAATATATTATTTATTTACATATCATTGCGCTTCTAAGCGTTACCTAAATGACGTCATATGTACAATTGCGTTCGTAACCTATTTACTTAAAGAATAGTTATTGAGTAACGTAGTGTGTGGAAACAATAATTTGAATGTAAGACAAATCGTACTGAACACTTTCTATTTCAAGAAATCCTGCAATCGTTCTTATCGTCGTTTAATTTTTATGAGTCGTAACAAATTGAAAATAAAAAAGATGCATTAAAATTATGAATGTGGACTTCAGAAAAAAAGTAAATATTTACATTAATTAGCATTAATTATGCCTTCGCATTTGCTATTGGTCATCTTACTTATTTCTCTCTTCGCGAAACCAGTGCAAAGTGAAGACATAAACGTCCATGTAATTTATATTATTACGCTATTTGCAATTATGTATATTATAAATACTTTTGTTTTCCTACGTAAAACGAGAGAAGAAAAATTAGTGAGCAAAGTTGTGGTTCATTGATTCATTCGGTTTCATGCATTGGAATTGACTTTTTCTTATGGGTGTGCCACGGTATTCATATGTACATATATAAATTTGTACTCATCTACATTGTACATCAGTTGCTATTTTGACACGATGAAATTCATAATTATTATTGTTTTATTAATGACATTTACCACTATCAAATGTGACTTTTTTGGATTTTTGAATGACGAATGTGTATGTAATTCAGGTGAGTTGATTTAAAATAGAAATTCCGTTAGGCATTTCCGTTATAAAATGTTACCTTTTTTTGTTTATATCATTAAAAGTTCATATCTTCTCAAAATTGTGATAAAGTATAAGAGTTCATAACATT